CCCCCCCCCCCCGATGGAGGGTATCAATCTTACATGAAGATGTGAACACTCTTCCTTGGACTGCCGTTGTATATATATTGTTTATGTAGCATAGAAGTTGCAAGCAGAGTGATCTCTAAAAAGCGAAGTTTATCATATTCCATTTACAATGCAGCTTAGATTTATACAGTTTCATACGATCGGCAAAATATCATATGAAGTTTAGAATACACCGAACTCAGCATCTATTAACTAAATAACGTCCGGAGTAAATAGTAGGTTCCATGTGATTTTGTTCACACGGTAAATTAACTGGTTGTGCTTGCCGTATCTCTGAAATCGCTGAATATATGGGTTTATAAAAGAATTATTGGTTATTGAAAGATTCTTATGGCTTGGGATTAACAACTGTTTTTCATGTTTCCCTATTTGTTTAGATTCGTGCTATTGAAAAAAAAGTAAAAGAACTAAAATTGAAAACCGGAGGAATTGCGGGCACAGAAGAAATGTTGCAACGGGTACGGTGTAAACTGACCACGCTAGAAAATCGCTTGGTGCACGTGCTAAAAACCTACAATGAGGCAGTGGGAAAAAATATGAGTAGGTTTTTAAATAATTATCAAATTTTCATTGAATTTCGTCTTTGGTTTCGGCAATACTTTAAATTATCATCGTGATCTTGTTCCTGGCTGTAAAACGATGCTCATTAAATAAAATACTCATCCCTTAGCACCACACTTGTCTCTAGTTTTAAGTAAACGAGTTAGCATTATTTGTTTAGTGTGGTTAACCTTGACCAAGAGCCACACATGTTATAAAATTATTCCTGTTTCCCGGTTCAACGCATGATTTAAGACCACTGTTTTTTTCAGAGTTGAGGAGTGAAATTGACACACTCAGACTTCAAAGAAGTAACTTCGATCAAATCTATCGGAAGTTGGATCAAACACTATCCAAGCAGCGAGCGGCGATTGCTCGCTTGGTTGAGGCAACATCACAAGCTTACGAACAGCGGTGAGTGATTGGAGATTTGTACTGAACCATGTATTTCGTTTCATAGAGAGAGCTGCCGAATTTTAGTTGATACCGTTAATTTAGGTTTATCTTTTTCTATAAATAAAGTGGTGCAAAATGATGGTGAGCAGTATTTCAATTTTTAAATAGACTTGTTTCTTGGTAGCTGTTGTCATATCGTGACATAAAGCGCGGCTCGGAGTCCCTACTAAAGACCATGCAAAGAAAATATAACTAGTCCGTACAATAGTTTATGCAGAAACAGCACATTTTTCTCTCTGAAAGGTTTTACAAATAGTCAGTGACAGAGGAACAAGCATGATACAATGTGCTCTATCAAAGGGACGTTTAACCTAATGTGATACTGAAAAAAGTAATGAGATTAATTTGTATAAAGGGCTACCACGTTTTGGAAACACCGTGAATACTAGACTCAAAGTTAAGTTTCCCATTAGCTCGACATACATCAACCGGTAAGCATTTGTTTGCAAACTAAGACAGTTGGTAAAAGGTTAAAGCGAAACAAGTCGAGTGAACAAAGATAGAGTTTGATAAAAACATGCTTTGCATTATGAATAGATATAAATGTGGATTGCATTTTGTCAAGCCAATGATAAATGTATATAAATATACCCCCGGCAGCACATTAGGCGATTTCTCAAAAATACATTATATTAAGCCAAACTTATCCCTTTGAAGACAAAAGCTTTTGAGAAATTGAGAAGTTGTAGGATTTACTGTTCAGTGCAAAAACCCATATTCTGTGTGCAATTNCTGTTTATATTCGTAAACTGTTTTGGATTAGTTCACCGGTTAAATTGACGTTAACTGGATTGGTAAAAATGTTAGTTTGTTTGTTTTTGCAACCATTAATCATGTAATTTCGTGCACCAGCATTGGTTACTATCTATTGGCTGCCAATTTGAATAAAAGAGCAGAATGAAGATTGGAATGTTGAGACCTGAGTCAAGGGGAAGATAGCGAATTCGTAAGGACTGAGGTTGCAAGAATATTAAGTAGGTGCACAGCACCACTGTTTGCGACACCCAGCCATATCACTTAGCGTCTTTAACCACTGGTGACCATGATCTCGGGATCTCCATTCATGTAGCCTAACGGGATCTATGTAACCGTGCGTCTTAATCAGGGTTTCATACCCTCATGTCAGGTCTTAGTTTGGCCTTCCTTGACCTTTTTTAAACCCTCACCTGCCTCGGCAAACATCGCTTGCCGTGACAACCTGTCTGGTGACGTGCGCACCACATGCCCCAACC